AGCTGAGACTCTGCCGATCTCTGGCGCGCATCCTAAATTTTACCGAGTCAGTCGTGGTATCGAAAGCAGAACCCATTGTGATGGCCAATCAACCGGCTAGTCTGATCATAGCCCTACCGAAAATGCTTTTTGTTTACACCGATGTTTGCGAGCCGTATGTTACCGGAGACGTCCAAACACCCTTGCTTCGCGTAGTTCCCTTGCAGACGGATAACAAATATGCGTATGCCGCCGTAAAAGTGCTCTCGATTTTACCGTTAAAGTACATATCGTTGCTCCGCACGACTTTTCAAACGATCGATATCGATATAAGAGACCAACTGGGCGAACCTATACCATTCGAATCAGGGACGCTCTCCGTAACATTACACTTTAAACGGCTAGACTGATGGCTCATTACTACGATTCGCAGATAGGTGGGGGATATTCCACGAAATTTCGGGTGTTCGCGGGGTCGTCGTATCAGCGAGGGCATGGTATCGGTAGCTTTCTCAGTGGTCTGTTTCGGCGCGTGTTACCTTTGCTATCGAGAGGAGCCTGAGCTGTCAGGAAGGAGGCGGTGCGCGCGGGCATGAATATCTTGACAGACGTGAGCGAGCGCGGCTCTCCGCTGAAACAGGCATTTTGCACCAGGGCCACCGAATCGGGTATGAATCTTAAGCGTAAGGCTGAGGCGAAAATTGACGAGCTCATGAAAGGATCGGGCTATAAAGCTGTAAAACGATCACGCGGTGGCCACTCTATCATCCGCGTCGCTGGAAGGAGCATCGCCTCACACATAAGACCTGTTAACGAGCGTAAGAGAAGTAGGAGAAAAAAGGTTGCTCCGCGTAGAAAAGAAGTAGTAAAACAATTAAGTCAAAGACCAAGAAACCCAAAAATCATCATAGGGTCGCTAGTAAGAAAGTAAAGCAGAGTGTGCTGGATATCTTCTCCTAAACGCTACCTCTATCATGGCCTTTCTATATGCGCACTCCTGCGAGTGTATGAAATCGGAGCTCGAGCTCTTCACACTACCACCGGGAGAGACCACTATAGAGAGCGCCCAGTGGGTACACTACAAGCCCATCTCATCGCTGACCGATGACTCGCCCATTGAGTTTGTCGTGCCGGGTAACGGCGACGAATACCTTGATCTAGCCCACACCATGCTGAGTTTACGCGTGCAGCTACGATCCAAGGATGCGTTAGCTCCTGACGCTCTGAGCAAAGCAACCCCTGTTAACAATCTGCTACATTCGCTGTTTAATCAGGTGGACTTGTTTCTTAATCAGAAACTCGTATCGCCGCCTAATAACGCGTACGCTTACAGGGCTTATATAGAGATGCTATTAAATTACGGGCCCGCTGCTAAGGGGTCATACCTCTCGAGCGTGCTCTGGTACGACGACAGGCTCGGTCATATGGACGATACAGCGGGCAAGAATATACGTCTCGCGAATACACAGGCGTTCGTTGGTAAAGACAGGACGGTCGATCTGATCGGTCATTTACACTGCGATGTGTTTAATCAAGAAAAATTTTTATTAAACGGCGTCGAGCTCCATTTACGCCTCGTACGTACGAAAGACGGTTTCTCCCTCATGGACCCCATGAACGAGTGTTGTTTACATATAACGGAGGCCACGCTCCTCGTTAGTCGTGCCAAAATAAGCCCGTGTATTCTAATGGTTCATTCTAAAATGTTGTCTAAGGCAACGGCCAAGTATCCGCTTACGCCTGTGGAGGTCAAAGCACTGACGATGCACGTCGGCTTGCACGGTGGTACGATGGATAACGTGATTCTCAGCCAATTACCTAAGCGGATTATAATAGGTTTCGTCGATAACAAGGCCTTCGACGGCAACTATCAACTCAACCGGTTCAATTTTAGAAACTATTGTATTAATTTCTTATCATTGTACGTCGACGTTGTTCAAGTACCCTCAAAAGTACTGCAGACCGATTTTGGCAAAGCTGGTCTTTACGGGGGCGCGTACCACACTCTCTTCAGTGATACGGGTATACACTTCCTCAACGAGGGTAATTCGATATCTAGGAGCGCTTACGCAAACGGCTACTGTCTGTTCGTTTTCGATCTCACACCCGATCTCTCGGCAAATAGCAACATCCACTGGAACGTGATCAAGCACGGTAGTGTACGAATCGAGGTGCGCTTCGACAAACTGCTGGCCTCCACTGTGAACTGTATCGTCTATGCAGAGTACGATAACGTTCTGGAGATCGACGCCTCGCGCCAAATCGTCGTAGATTACGGCGGCTAAACAATCGAAGAAAATACATAGGTCAGCAGTTTGGGATCTGCGTCATCATCTTTTGTGCACTCGGTATCGCGGCTGCTCGTTACCATTGTCGTTAGTTTCTCGTTAAACGCCTTCGAGTTAGCACCGTGACCATGAATTTTGTCATCAATATCGAGTACTTCAAAGGCTCCGAGGGGCGTCTGCCTCCGAAGGAAATTGGTGTCGTGGCTGTGGAAAGAAGATGCATAGGCCACTGTATCGTTTCACCACCCTGTGATTTTAACGAATTGCCATCAGCAATTAGAAGCGAGAACAACACCATGGCCCGCTATCAGCACGGTCTAGAATGGTTCGACGGCGGTGTAACATACAAGCAGTTATACGCCAATCTCCGAAATATAGCCGGTATTTCGCGGAACATATACACGCGAGGTTTGGAGAGTGTAGTTTTTCTGCAGACCATTATGGTGAGGGAGGTTATAAATTTGGATGAAACCCCCAATAACTCACCATACGAGGACTTTCCGCCGAACTGTGACCATTACGAGTGCATCGTTCACACCTGTTAGGAAGCACGAGGATTGTTTACTTGCGCTCTGAACAACGCCTTACGCCTTGAATTCTGGCTTCGGAATAACGGACCGCATATATGAACACGGCTAAACCTTTACCTCGGCCTTCGCGGTATATCTAAGCATACGACGGGTGTATACGCAGCTGATAGAATACTCCGAAACTGGTCGAAACCCGCTGTCATTGTTGCCAACATGGACGATCATACGAGCGCATTGGGTTGCCATGTACGTGGACACCGACGGAGATGGCTACTACTTTGACAGCTACGGATTACCACCGCTGAATCATCACCACGCATCGAGACTCCAACGAAACTGTCGATCCTTCCGATGGAATACTCAGCAGCTTCAGAGCGAGACGTCGACGGTGTGCGGCCAGTTCTGCATGATGTTTCTACACTACCTTTTCTTGCGGCTTCGGGATGCATGAGTTCCAGAATGTGTTTAGTGATGATTTGCGGAAAAACGATAGAATCGCCCGAGAGTGCGCTTTTGTGCGAACAAAGCGTTTGGCGGATCACCGGTATGCGCAGGATAATAAGATCTATGGTGGCGGTGGTGGTGGTAGGGTACAATATTCACGGTGTAAATCAGGATACGCAAGTTAATGTTTCCTTTCTTTATTTTTTTTATGTATTACAATATCATTTTTAAAGCATAGAAACAGTAATAATTATTAATAAGACAAAGCGATATAAATAATTAAAATATAATAAAAAATAATAATAGAGATAGTGATGTAATGTAGCGGTAAAATTAAAAGTATTGTTAATAACAGACATAGTGTATGTTTAAAAAAAATAGTAATAATATGTGTGTATATATGTAAGCAGTTATTTAGTAAGTAAGCAAAAAAATAGCGGTAAATATATATGTATAAATAGATGCTAGTGGTTATAATAGGTGTATTATATAACAAAATTATGTAATTACAAGCGCACGATCACCACCTTATCACCGCCCTGGCCTATGAGCACGGCCCTGTGGCCCACGTAATAGCTGATACAAGCTATACAGTCTAAGGGGTCATACGCATGCAGGACGCTCCGCTCGTATCGCACGCACACCCCGCTGCCTATTGGTATGGTGACATCCAGCAATAGATAATGCAGCACTACCGGGGTGTGCTCTGCCCTGATTTCGGGCGCCTGCATATGCATGCAACAGTAGCATAATTTCACATTACATATAGGCATCCGTAAAAGCATTGCTCACCGTGAAGAGGGGCGAAAAATTCGTTCAACGGTGGGCGAATACCGTCGAGTAGGGGCCCCTCAAATAGCCCCTCCACCCCTAAGGGCAGTGTATCGGGTCTCCTTGGGGCCATAATCTGTAAAAATTTCAGTTTCTTTAATAAATTTGTTTAAAGCAAATAAAAAACCGTATAGTCTCATTACACTTACCGCTCCAGTAGCAGCAATAACCGGCGTTAGGTTGACGGTTAGTGGTTGTGGTGATGCTACCTTACTGATCGTCCTGCTGTGCAGCGTCTAGAAATAAGGGTAAAAGGTGTACGATACATTTTTAAAATCAAATAAAAACGTGTACTACCTTAACACTGTTATACGTACCACTGTTTTTTTTATACCCTGCAAAATGCTATGTCGGGGATTTGTCAGATAGACAACTAAAAATTGTCGAATATAAAATAAATTTTTTTAAATTAGATAAAAACGGGTACAAACTTAACGCTGTTATACATACCACTTTCTTTTTTTTTAAACTGTCACTGTACACTCTCGCTATCACTTTCTCCTTCTTTTTATGTTGCTTCTGTTGCTTCTCACGAAGGCACTCACAAGATGCTGCGACGATGGCTCATGGAGTACCGGCTTTTTCCCCACCATGCCCATAATTTTTTACATAGTTGCAAATAAGAGATGTATGTAGCAGTTTACGCGGCCAAGAGAAGGGTACGCTTGGCGTATTTGCGTATCGTTTGCTAAATCGAGCAAAAAGAGGGTATGCGGAGGATTCACCCCTAGCAAAATATTAAGGGTGTTTGATATCCACCCACTAAACGTATCGAAAAAAGGCGATACGTACGATGTTTCTATAATATATGGTATTTCTTTCTACTTTACCTCCTTAGCATACACGAAGTATGTTGCAATATGAGATATAAAAAAATTTTGATTCGGTTTTTGATATTCAGTAAAATAGTACATATTGCTTGTTTCAGTATTCTGTATGCCTGGCAAACGTACAATGCATTGTTTGCTGTGCGTTGTGTTCTCAAATACCTTATAGAGACAGTAGGTGAAGAAGAAATAGCGCGACACGCTGAGGCTGTAGCACCTTCACAAGAACCGTTACATCCAGGACAGTCTCAGGTTACAAGACTCGAAACGTTTTTCGAATCTCTTGTTGAAATTATCGTTAATGTTTCGATATGGTAAGTACGTTTGGATAAATTTATAATGACTAAATTTCTTAACTTGCGAAGCTAAGATTGTTAATTGCAGCCAATTTTGGCACAGAAAAAAGTTCTCGGATTTGTACAAAAAATTGGTATTAACCTCTTCACTGTGAGTGAAACGTATACCCATAGAAAAAAGTTGTGTCACCAGTGTGTATGATATTTATAGAGTTATTTACGACAAACCAACGGTACCAGCTGAAGTTGGACGCGATTGAACAATTCTATTAATCGAGGTGTCGTAGCCTTGTTAAACAAATAAAGGAATTTGAAATTCATGATAAAAGCAATTTTACGACGTCAACCTTCATTTCTTTAATGATGCCACCCTGCTCTGATTTATGAAATCGTCCATTCACGGCCAATTTCAGCTGGTGCGTTTGCTATGAATAATCCTGTATATGCGCATCTAAAGAAAAAATATTATACGCGATTTTTAGGAAAGTTAGTATTCTAACGTTTTTGGGGTTGCTGAATCCAAATGTGATATATCTACATAATTTTTTAATAAATAATGGCGGATTAAGAATTTGAAAATGGTTGGATTTTTATAAAAATGCAATGATTTTTAAATTTGTATTTGGGTATTCCAGCTGAACTTGACCGTCTTATACGTTATTTCTCCGGATTCAGTCTTACATTTCTTATATGATTGTAATAATTCATAAAATGACTCAATTTTTTTAGATCTTTTTGTAATAGTGTGACATCCAGAAGGCGGTTTGCACACAGTCGGTAGAGTAGTAGTTCGAGGATCGGTAAACGTGAACCTACCAAGTATATTTACAAACGCTTACTACTTCCGACGAACAATAGCATGCTATCGGTAAAGTAGTAATGGGGAAGTCCGTTTAACTCCACTTTACTCGCGGATATTTATAAACAATGAGCAACGTCGGGAGGATGACCACAATGCTCTGTTTAGGGTCTAACCTTTCGGAAATTTACCTTGGATCGAGAAGTTACTTGCACCTTATGTCGTTGATGGTCATGAGACTGGTTGTACAGAACGAATTGTTATCGACGGTGGACAGAAATTCAAATCCACAATTGGAAATTATTAAGAAAACTGATAAAACTGAACTTCTACTTACGATGTGGTGCACTTGACCACGAATTAGGAATTTACGTTATTGTTGATCGAGGATAGGCGTTGGTTTAGGGATTAAGGGATGATTGGTAATAAAAAATTATACGGTAACGTTGAGTACGGTAACAGCAGATTTAACACAATATTTTTATTTAAATGTAAAATAAAATAACTTACGTTTATTAAAATAGATTACCAATATGATGATCAATAATTGAATTCGAATTTGGAATTAGCAACAAAAGACTTAGAAAGATTTTCAAAATCAGTAGTTGAATCTAAAATTTTAACTTAGATCTTTTTTTTGAGTTGAATTTTTATAGATGCTTACTGTGTCATATGACAGATCTCTATGACTCCTGACCCATATCTGATGTAGGGTCGAACTAATTTCTACCCAAGATGATTCGCAACTCGTGGTGGCTTCTGATTTGCGGTTGATCTATGAATAGTTATTAAGCCCGGTCGCTAGGCGGATTTACTCTCCATTTCTTTATCTCCTGTTTGTCTTTTGTAGCCCCCTCCTTATGCAATGATTTTTGGGTCATACTGAGCAATGACTATTTTGTTTATATCATTATATCTTAAAGAAGCATATCCTAGCTTTGGCTGTCACAGAAGTGTGAAAGACAACTTTCGATATGTTTATATTCGGTAGGCGATGGATTAGAATGATTCTTCATAAGATGATATTCAGGTTACCATTTGTTATAAGTATTGTAACGTGGCTTCCGGATTGTTTTGATTTTTGATTTACTGCGAAGAGTGGTAGGGAGGGAGGATAGTGTGTTGGAGAGTCTTTGTGTGAGAACTCGGGTGTCCGGCAGATTGTGTGAAACTGAGTTCTTCTTTCGTGTTCGAGCGATAGCCGAACTATCGGATAATCGCGGATCGCGATTATCGGAATTTCTCGGTGAGAACCATAGCTCCCGGTTTTTTTTTTTTATATATTGCGACGATATTCTCAGTCGTCGACAAAACTGAACTTTACACAACGGAAATCGGGAGCGTGAGTGGTCTCGGCAAACTCAAAAGGTTGGTTGGGCGCCAGGTACACTTTAAGGAGCACCACGAGCTCTAGGCTCGTTATCGACACAAACGTCCGGGGTGATCAATTGCCACCAGGCAAACTAAACCTAAGGATGCCACCAGGCGAACTAAAACTAAAGATGCCACCAGGCGAACTAATTCTAAGGGCATCACGACCACGCAAAATCAGATAGGGGCACCACGGCCAAGAAAAGATACTAACTTAACTAACCTAAAGGCACCACGGCCACTCAAAACGGATAGGGGCACCATGGCCAAGAAAAGAATAGAAAACGTAACTAAACCTGAGGTGACCCGGACTCGAAAGATAGTATTAAATGAGACCACTACACGTCCCACGGCACGCCGCTGCGGAGGCTAGCTCGTCGGAAGCGTCGCGGCGTTCAAGAGGTAAGGAAAGAACCCAGCCAAGGACTTATAGGAAAGTGATACGAAAAACTACACGAAAATAACCCAAATTAATTAGTTAACGCACCAGAGCTGTATTAAGCAAAACAAAATTCCAAATCATCAATAAACGCAATAGCACAATTACCAAATCATTAACTCAAGCATTAGGAAGGGTACGGGCGAAAGCCAAGCATAGCTTTACAAAAGTCTTAAAATTCATTCACAATGATCGGTATCTACATTCGGAAGCTATACAATGCAAAAGAAATAAGAATCACTAAATAGAATTCCGGAAATTATAGACGCAGTATCCTTATCGGCAAATCCCGGCCGAAGGCGCTACGCGTGAGCGCGCACGCGAGTAAGATACGGGCCCGCGGGCTCGATACTTCTAGACGACGATATCCCCGGAAAATAATATGGTCGGAAGAATCGAATTACTCGCAATAAACTAACAAATTCGCTTTGAATTAAAATAACCAAATAACGACACGGACAAAAATCGGAACGCAAGGAACAGCAGAGGAACGACAGCGGAACGACCTGCGCGGTTCCAATTATCGCACGCGCGAAATTGTAACCACGGTCGACAACAGTAATACGAAAGAGTCTCGCAAAAGAAATTATACCACGAAGGAACCCGACAAAGGATAATACACGCGGGTTCTCAAACACCAGTTCGAAAATTGCGAACACGAAAAATAACACAAGTATTAGAGATATCACAATAAATTAATACAAGATATGGTACAGAAAAATATATCACAGTCAGAAAAAGATAGAATATTGTAACGAGTATTTCATTATCGTTGCAGTGGAAAGACGTTCTCGGAACGGGTAGTACAATTTTGAAATCGGCCGAAGGCGCAACGTCGAGGGACGTCAACAAGTAAGGTCGCCTCGTAGGGCGGCTGGCGCGCGACGTCGGAAGGACGCGTGCGATACGTAAAATTCACAAAAGTTCCCAAGAGAATATAACGATGAAATTACAATAAGGTTCGGCAACGATAATCAGATACGGCAAGTAGTATAAGTATGGGGGTTCTGGATATAGATTCCTGCACCGACATAATACCGACACTCCAGAGCCTTCGAAGGTGGGTGTCCGTGCTAAGTTACCGTCGTGAGCTCTACGATTTTTGGAAGCGACGTCATCAGGACCCTCGATTCCAATAATTTTCGTTCGATTCCGGGAATTTTGCGTCACATTCCGGGAATTTTGCGCTCGATTCTAGGAATTACGCACGATCGAGAACCTTCTAGAACATTCTAGAACCTTTTAGAACATTCTGCAAGCTTCGACGGTTCGTGTCCGTGCTAAGTCGCGAAGGATCGCTCCCAGAGCCGGCGGTCCTCTCGCGCGACGTTTTGAGACAGGCCCTTGCCCCCCACCCCGGAAAGCCTTCCAGAAGCTTCGACGGACCCGTGCACGTTCGTGTAGGTTTCGGACGTCAGCCCTCAGCCTGTTTGACCTCGAACGTTATCTCGTAGAATTGCACAGCATCGCTGATGCAATCCTCCAGGAATTTTCCAGAACTTTTGTCCCT